GCGCCCGAGCCGCCGCGGCCCCGGCCGCGGCCGCGGCCGCTGGGGGGCAGGCGCGGGGGCGCGCCGCTCGCCTCCTCGCCGTCGCCACCAGCCGCGGCGGCGCTGTCCTCCCCCGCCACCGACTTGCTGGCGCATGCCCCGCCGCCGCTGACCGCCGTGGACGGCTCCGGCGTGCCGACCAGGCCCGCGGTGGCATCCGAGTCCCCTGCGGCGCCGCTGTCCGCCGCTACAGGCGTGCCGCCTGCCACCACCGCTGACCCCGCGGGGCCGCCGTCATCGCCCCCCGGCCCTCCTAGCCCGGGCGTCCCGGGTGCGAGCGCCGACGCCGCGGCGTCTGGCGCAGCCGCACCGCCTTGCTGCTGCTGCTGCTGCTGCGGCGGCGCGCCGCCGCCACCTGCCGCGCCATCCTCCAACCCGTCGTCCTCCTCCTCTGCCGCCGCGGCCGCGGGGCTGAGGTGCGGCGGCACCCTGGCTGCCAGCAGTGCCTCCGTGTGCGGGTGGCGGTACATCTGGCGCTCCTGGTGCCGCCGCGCGCGCACCAGGTCAGCGTGCTGGCGCCGCCGCTCAGAGTCCTCCTCCAGCACACTCTGCTGCTGCTGCTGCTGCTGCTGCTGCTGCTGCTGCTGACACTCCAGCTGCTGCGCCGCCTGCAGCTGCGCCGCGGCGGCCTGGGGTGCCCCGCCATCCAGGGCCCCCGCCTCCGCTACCAGAGCACCGCTGCTGCATGCAAGGCCGTTACTGGCCAGCGCCCCCACAGCCGGGTGCGCATCGCCGTTGGCGCACGGCTGCTGCCCGCGGGCTCCAGCCTCTGGCGCCTGCGCCCTGGCGGCTGCCTCCCTCTCGTCCGCGCGCGCCCTCACCCCCTCCAGCAGCTCCCCTAGCGACAGCACGCCGCCCTGCACGCACATCCACTCCAGCAGCCGCCCCGCGTGCTTCGGCGTGAGCTTCGCCGCCGCCGCCGCCACGTCCCCGCGCGTGAGCGCCTGCGCCGCGGCCGCAGGCAGCTGGCACGCGGCGGAGGCCTGGTCGGCGGTGCCATGGCCCAGGGCCACAAAGGCCGCCGCCAGCCGCAGCACCTGCAGCGGGTCGACGCCGTCCGCCACACGACGCTCCGGCGCGGCCGCTGCGCTGGGGACGGCTCCACGGCGGGAGGCGCCGGTCGGCGTGGCGGGCGCCGCGGCGGCCGGGGCGGGCGACGGCGCTGCGGCCACGGGGGGCTCGCCAACAGTGGGGGTGCGCGCGCCCCGGTTCTGCGCAGGCGGCGGCGGGTGGCACGCCCGCAGCGGCACAGGAGGGGTGAGGAACGCATGCTGAGGTGCCCTCGCCTGTGCTGATGTTGAGCGCTTCTTTTCATTCAACAGTCACACACGCGCGCGCGCGCACACACACATACACACGCACACATCTGACGCACAAGCCAGTACGACCCTCCAGTCCCTGTCACCCCAACCCCTCCTCATCCCCC